CGCAGGCGGCGGAGCAGCGCGCAGAGGGCGAGCTGCAGCAGGACGCCGACCCAGGCCAGGGCGAAGAAGGCAAAGGCCATCCAGGGCCGCGTGTGCCGCAGCATGGTGGCGCTGCCCGAGGCGTGCATGGCGCCCGAGAGGAGGAAGGCGCACGCCGAGGCCGCGAGCCCCGTCGCGGCGGACGAGCGCCGGGCCGGCAGCCAGCCGCGGCGGATCAGCCACTTGGACGGGGCCGTGTAGCCGACCCTGAAGCTCTGGTGCCAGTACCGGCCCCAGAAGCCGGCGAGGCCGTGGTCGAGCAGCTGGTCGAAGGAGCCGAAGTTGTCCGGGTACTGCCACAGGTCGCTGCTGACGCCGCCGGCAAAGGCGCGGGCCAGCCGCCGACGGAGAAGCTGGTCGGCTGAAAACACAGCAGTGAGTGCGGACAGCATGCCGAGAAACCCCAGGATCATTCGGTAAATGTAGAGGACCGATGGTGGGAGGGCCGGAAACATGGAGGACAGATATAGGGGCGGTGGCGAGTCGTGGAGGCCCGTGTTGAAATACCCGTCTTTGGTCATAAAGACGGCGCAGAAGTCCAGGACCAAGTAGGCTATGGCGATGTTGCAGAGACGAGCCCGGAAGAACTCGTCGTTTTTAGCGTGGCGCCAATGCCCTGCATGCGAAACTAGAGGGATGGAGTCGAGCTTGACCAGCTCCCCAGAAAGGGGCTCAGCAGGACGGTCGAATTTCGGGAGGCAAGATATGGCCCAGTTCCAGCCTGGTGTAAAAGAGGCGTGAGCATGCGGGCTGGTTATACCACGAGCGGATGCAGGGCCTTCAGGCCGTCAAGGGAGGGAGGGAGAAAACTCACCCGTGCCTCTCCAGGCCATGTAGTAGTCAAAGGCCCAGCCCAGGCGTGTCACGAAAGGGGCATCTGCCGGGAAAGCCTGCCAAAAGTAATCGTACTCAACAAGGGCGCGGGCAACATCGTCATCCGGGGGCACCACGAAGCGCACAGACTTGCGGCGCCGGGACTTGAGCACGGGGCTCGGGCCGTTGGCAGCAGCGTGGCCATTCAAGGCATGGCCGTTGGAAGCGTGGCCGTTGGTCACGGACATGGCTGTCGAGAACGAGGCCAGGGCCGTCGAGCACGCGACAGGAGACGAGGCCAGGTCAGCGGGTGGCGGGGCCACCATGATGCCGCTCGAGACGCGTCTGGCTGAGATGGGGGAAGACGAGGAAGACGAGGGCCGCGGTGGCCTCAGTCGCCTCTCGACCCTTTCGGCATCAAACTGGGGCCGCAAAAACACGAGGGCGGCAAAGACCCAGATGGTGCCCCTGAGCTTGCCAAGGCCCGGCAGAAACCACCACCACTCACCAACGTCAGCAATTTGAACCATTCATATATCCCCTAACTGGGCAGGTACCTAGGTACGTAGCATGGGAGCCGACAGAGACGCACCACGAGGCGACAAGACCTACGGCGTAGGCGACAGCGAGATTCTGGGGCGCCGTGCGGCGAGCCATGACCACGTTGAGCAAGGCCACGGCACCCGCGACCAGCAGACGCGCGCGGTAGAGCCACGGCCGTGCGGCGTGAGGAACCGCGAGGTACAAAATCGGGAGGCCAAAGTTGACGGCGAGGATCTGCAGGACCAGGGCCGGCCGCGGCTCGTCTGCCCAGGCCGAGCCATGTTTGGCGTGCATTTTGGGAGACGAACCAGGCTATAACTGAGAAGCGAAGCAGTCTGGCGAGTCCAAAGAGCGAGTCCAAAGAGCGAGTTGTCTACCTAGCCTGCCGCAACAGTCAAAACCCGAGGACAAAATGGGAGATGAGGCCACTAATCATGCCATCGCTGGAACAGTAAAGGGATATGGCGGCAAGGGATACCTGACATGCGCGAGAAGTGAAGCAGAAAAGAACCAAGATCAAAACATATCTCGATTGAATACTAAAGGGCAATTTACTATGGCTATCTCACTCGTGTCGAGAGCAGCCCGAGTCGTCTCGCTGCCCAGGTCGCAGCACGTCTGTGCAGCCTACGGTGCCACGCCACAGCACTCACTGCCTGGCCTAAAGTGGGTTGGTGGCGGACATGGAGCGCTCTCAGTCGCTGGAATGGTCGAGACTAGGGGTTGGACAGGGCCTTGTGGTGGCTTGCAAGATTGCCCAATTGCCGCTGGCGTCATCATTTCCAAATTGACCAGAACTGGCTGGGGCTGAAATGCGACATTGTGATTCAATATTGCCCAAGAGTCTACATTCATGTTCATATCAGATAAATCCTCAATTTGCTCCTCATTTTGACGCCGACTCGGCAATGGACACATGGCGGCGGTTCGGACGCTCCCTTCTCACTGTCACCAGATAGGCTCTACATTAGCCGAAATGGGAAGGTGAGGAGCTACCTAGACGGGGGAAGCGGGGAGCCGTGATAGCGACGGGGGATATCAAGACTGCTCATCCATCCATCCCTCTGGGTCCTGGATTTCCCGCCTCCAAAGTCCCAGCACGAGAAGGTGTCTTTCTCCAAAACACCCCCTAAAAAATGGCCACGTCCAGGCCCTCCCCAAGCGCGTGGTCGTTCCTCGCCGCCGCCAGCCTCCTCGCCCGCGCCGCCGCCGCCGCCACCGCCGCCGCCCTGCCGGCCTGGCAGCTCCTGCAGACGGGCAGCACGGCCCAGCTGCGCGGCCTGTCGGCCCTTCCCGGC